TTCTACACTTACCTTTTAATACAATGTTTTTTTTATTTGTAAGTTTTTAAATTTAGCATTCCAGCTGTTGTAAAATGATAAATGTCCATGTTAACAGGTACTTTAAGTATTCTAGCACTCAGCCAAACAGGAAGCACTCAAAATACTCTGATTAATAATTTCCCAAACACAATTTGAAGATCCATTTTTTAAGAATGACTTATTAATAGGTTAAAGAGAAGTATAAAGTAATTGATATCAGTGGTATTATTTACTAATTTAAAATTATATGTACAACAGATCTTAAAATAAGGACAAACTATGTCAGGGTTGGCACCAGAGCATTTGAACTGGATGAGTAAGCAACTTTGACAAGGGCAGATTTGGCTCAATCATTTTGTTATTCCTTTAAAAAAAAACATGCTGACACATCACACACATTATTTCCAGAGGCTTTAAACTAACACACATTTGAATTTTGAAGAGTACTACAACAGTCTGTCCTCTACTATTACTAAACTCACACAATGGGCCACCTTTATTAGCTACACAGCAAATTTAAGAATAATCAATAGTCGTAAACATAGTCCATCATAAATTACTTTCAAGGACACACATCAAGACAGCTGTCAACAACTCGCCTTCCTTTAGTTTCCCTGCAGCTGAGTATGGACACCAGGGCAACTACAGCTGTGTGTATGAAGCAACAGCAATGCTGTCAAGGAAATTCACCTCTCTGGAGGCAGAACCAATTTATCTGTGAACCAGAGGGACACTACAGACCGTATTTACATTGCCACATGTTGATGCTGAAATCATTAGCAGTATTTGTGGTCATCCATTTATATCATCCATCATGTAGCCATCAGCAGGGATCACCTTTCCGAGATAGAGCACCTCATTTCTGAACAGGTCCCATTTGTCTGGTCTTAGTTTAGATGTTTGAGAACATATCCTCAACACATCGTCTAAGTATGGATTGCATATTTTGTCTCTGAGGCCTGCTTCCATACTATACTGAAAAGCTCAGGGTGCATTTGTGAGGCCAAACACAATCCTGTTTGATTCATACCACATCCATGGTGTTTTAAAGGTTGTGAATTTTTTTTAATCTTCACTGATGCTCTCCTGATAGTAAGTTTTAGCTACACTGAACCATGAATGTGTGGTATGGGGTACTTATCGGATTTGCGTTTTTAGGTTTTCATTTTTGTGTCTGACCAGGGGATCCTACAGTTCACCCTTTGAATCACTCTGAGTCTTTTCTGTGGTTAAGAGTGGAGTCTGAATGCTGTCAACCACTACTGAATCAACTTGGTGTTCTTTTATGTACACCAGGTAACAGCCTAACCTCCTCCTATCAGTGTTCCAGCTGGCAGCCTATTGTCTCTAACTCTGTTTAAGTTAATATATATGACTTGTAAAATGAGCATGTACATTCTAAGTCTATTTAAACATCTTTTTTGTTGTTTTACTGATTTTATAAATGTCCTTCAAACAGATCCAGCAAATTCAGTGCTGGCAAACATTGGCCTTCATTTCTACAACAAGGTACTGTTCATCAGAGTCAATGAATGCATATTTACCTGGAAGAAAAGAATAGGAGCACAGTGGAAACAGGCATTTGTGTCTCTCCAGGTCACCACAAGGCAGAATTCAAAGCAAAAGGAGAACACAGAGATGCTTGTTTTTAGAGCAGAAGGGGCGACTGATGAGGAGGAACAGGCTGGGGGAACAGAGAAAGACGTCCGACGATTTCATCACTTCAGCCAGACTTAAAATCAGCTGGTGTGATTAGATCCGTAATATGCTTTTGAAGCTTCATGCATATCAAATAACAAGCATTCTGGGAGTTACATTCTGATAGTATAGCACTCTCAGATAGTACACAAAACTTTAATATTACTGACATTGAGGAAAACCAACGGCATTCAAAAATTCATCTCCCACTGGTCCTTAGCTATACCAAGTTCCCCTGCTTTAACCATGATGACTGTGACTCAGGACTTCTAATTGGAAGTTCAGTGGTTTAAATCCTGGTTTCTCCAGTTTGCACCACAGAGTCTCCTTTAGCAAGATATTGAACCCCATATTTACCAAATATATCCACAACTACCAATCTATTTAACTTAAACAGTGAGACCACAATGTGGTAAAGTGTCCATATCATGCATAAAACTAGCCTTGATTCAGCTCTCCAGACCTGATAAAGGATATTTCAGGAAATAATAACAAGTAGTGGCTACTATCAGTCCATCTCAATATCTCTACCCCTTGTATCATTACACACACACACACACACACACACACACACACACACACACACACACACACACACACACACACACACACACACACACACTGAGAGAGTACAACTACAACAAATTGCAAAAGTATTAAAGAGTAGGTAATGATACGTTTATATTATATTACACACAGTTATATTATTGCTACTACAGTGTTTTGTGTGTGTGTGTGTGGGGGGGGGTGTACTGAACTGTATCATATGTGTGTAATGTGTTGATTAATAAAATAATTAATGTGTTGTTCTCCCTTTTGGTTTTTTTAGTTCCCGTTAACATTTCCTTCCTGTTCTCTCAGTCTTATCTCTGTATTTTGGCTTTTAGTGTCTCCCATGTTGAGTCAGTCTTTTATGTCTGTTTACACTTTGTCTGTGTCAAGCTTGCAGGACTAAGACATCCTGGTTTTTGTATTAATTACTTCCATTTGATATTTTGATAGTATATTATCTTGTGTGCATTATGTTTAGTTTTGCTTCCCCTGTCTGCACTTCCCTTATCACCCTGGCATGCTGCGTTTGTGTGTGTTCTGTAGTTATGTGTTTATTTTCCTTTGGTACTTTACGTTATGCCTTGTTATTTTGTCTTTCAGCCTAAATACAAAGTTCGCCTTTTGTTTATCACTATCACACAGCACATGACAGACCCTGGCATCACCACACCAAACATAGTAAGATTAGCAGTGCATTTTATGAAAAAACTGCAGCACTTGTTTCTCAGTTTTCACACTTTACAAAGCTTGTTTGTTAGTTCATCACAGGGTGACTGTGGGTAAGTGTCATTTTTGTTCTGAGCACCATCTTTGTGCCACTGTTTCTCCAAACTCAGGTCGCTCACAGAGGATCTAAAACACAGACTGATGAACTCAACAGTGAAGTTTGTTAGAGAAAAAAAGGTTTTCTTTACACTTATGTCATAAAGAATGTCCACTGAAGTTTCTTCTGCACTGTAGATAAGTTCATTCAGATTTTGATATTGCTACACTGTAGCTGATAGCTGTCTAAAGGCCTGAAATGTTTACACTGATAGGGCATGTGTACACATTCACTAAACAGGGATGTTTTAACCAATATTTAATTAAATTTATTGCATTTGATCTTTTAAAGCATTTTCCTTAATTATGACTGCTGATAGAGGTTATTATGTGAGATATTATTTACAGTTAGAGGTGGTGGTATGGACAGTGATTCGGGAAAAATGGCAATCGCTCTATGTGTAGTTAGGAGTGTGATTCCCACTGCGCTGTCAGCAGCAGGGTCTGGGGGAGGAGCTGAAGTGGTGACGATTAGCAGGCTGCTTTTCCCAGGCAGACGTGGCAGTCTCTACCGCAAAAAAATAAACGCAGATAAGCAAGGTGAGAAACTAGGTGATCTACTGCTGTAAAGGACTTTTAACAGATTCAGTTACACTGCATGTTGTTTATGTATGAATGAGTAATAGTGAGCTTTGCACGCCTTTAACACCGGTTAACACAATGAAACTTCACGGGAGCAGCAACAGCTGGAACAGCTGCAGAGGACGGTGGGAGGAAAAGGAGGGGCCACCACCGAAGACAGAGGACGGTGATAACCCGAAACGAAGGTTCGCAGAACGTCCTCCACACTGTGGTCTTTATCAAAAGCAAAAGTTTCCTGTCTCTACTTGAGCACTTTTCTGACACTTTGCTACTTTTTATTCCTCCAATTTCACACAAAGATCTCGACTTTCTACTCCTTACATTTTCCAAACCGGTTCATTATTGTCATTATTAATTATTTCACTCCTTTCTTGACTACAGGATTTTTTTCTTCTTTTTATACATTTAACAGGAACATCACGTGATTAATAAATTAATTTAAAGGATGTGGGGGCAAGTCCATGTAGAACATTATATGTCAGACAGGCGTACATATTGTCATCACCTCGAGCACAGTAGATTGTTCAAATTGATGGCATGGGTGTATCTCCTAAAAATCTTGGATGAGTTTCTGTATGACCCTGTGTTTTTGTTGGTGTATCACACACACTGCTGCGAAAAGCAATTTTCCTCCTTCATGATTTCTCTTCTTTTGCTTTTTTTGGTGCATATTTGTGTCACTTTAATGCTTCAGATCATCGATTTTAGGCCCATATTTTAAAGATTTTATAGTTTAAAGTGTGGCTTCCAATTTAGTCCTCAGAAACATTCATGAAATGAGTTAAGATTTAAAACTGTCGAAACAGAGACAATTCTCTGGTTGCATTTCTTTCCACTGCCACTATAAAAGGATTGACTTCGGTTCTCATTCAGATCATCTTCCCAAATGTTAAACTGTGAGTCCTTGCTAATACTTTTTAGGCTAATGTAGGAGTGCTTAAAATTATGAGCGCTTAACCTCAAGAATGTATCATCTGTGTCAATATTACTTTTTAATCACCAGATGGAGACAGTGTGTGTGTTTCTGTGGATGATGGTAGGGTTGGTGCAAATTTGCTTATAATGAATCAATATGTATCCGAGAGTCACTAGATTACTCGAGCAGTTTTATTTTTATTTTAAAAAACAGATTTTTTAATGATGTGGTGAGCTCCAGTCTTTAGAGCTGCTCGTGTCAAAGCCCCGTGGATGAATTTTTTTTAAAAATTCAAAACGAAAGAGGAAGTGTTTTGGGAGGATAAACCAAATGTGAAGTGTTTTTTGTACACTGTAGTTTTTTGTTGACTTTACTGTCTTCTGGTTCCCATAAATGACACGATCAGCCTCTTTTTTTCAGTCATGGGGTGCAGACAGCAGAGAGTGCTTCAGTTTTTGACCTTCGGTAAGACATACTTTTGTAATGCTTTTGTAGAGAGACAGTTTGGGTCTTTGAGGTTTACCTTTCAGTGCAAATATTGATCACTTTAGATAAATGACTACAGATGTATTTACTTACTTTACATAATCAGCAATGTCATTTTGTTCCTTCCAAAAGTTTCTTGCCTCTTGGCCTTCACTTCATCTGCTGCAGGTCAGTCTGTTCTTGTGTGTGAAATTTTTTAATTCTTTTCAAATTTAGGAAAGTATTAAATATAGTTTATATTATGTGCTGATAGGACAGATCAGACTAGCTGGGTCTGGATCCACTCGGTGCTCTGGAAGAGTTGAAATCTATCACAGTGGCTCCTGGGGAACAGTCTGTGATGATCGCTGGGACTTAAGTGATGCTCAGGTGGTCTGCAGACAGCTGGGCTGTGGGGCAGCAGTGGAGGTCACTTCATCTGCTCACTTTGGTCAAGGCAGTGGACAAATCTGGCTTGATAATGTGGGCTGTTCAGGAAGTGAGAGTTCTCTAACTGAGTGTGGACACAATGGATTTGGGAAACACAACTGTAACCATGGTGAGGATGCTGGTGTCGTCTGTTCAGGTGAGAAGTGTTTGTTATACTCTTATCAAAACATAGATAAAAATGTGCTAAATTAATAAATAATAGATTTTGAACTCTTTATTTATGAAGCACACTCATTAAGCGTTCTGAGTGGTGGAAGAAAGTAGATCATCAATCATTGTTTAAAATAACCAGCTGTTCCTCTTTTGGCAGCAATAACTTCAACTTCATGCCAGCCCCTTTCTAAGTTCTGATCTCTGTGTCAGATATTTGTGTTTTCATGAGTGTGTGATAAGACAAGTAAAAAAAAAATCGGTGCTTGTGTCAAAATGGCTGAAGATATCTTTATCAATGTCAGTTTCCTTTCTGTGATATTATTTTATTTATTTATTTTTTAGAAAGAGGGGCAATACATATTAATGAACATTTTAACAAATGTAAATATGCCAGATTATAGCCTTGGGCTAATTTCCATCTGCAGACCCTCTGGCAGGTTGGTGTTAAACACAAGTTAGTAAAAACATACAGAGACACTATTTACAGGTCATGTGACAAGGACAAAAACAGTGATCACATTATACTAGAACAAACAATGACAAGAAGAGTGGACAAAGAGGACAGTATAGATAACAATAACGGAAACACATCAATTATATTGCACAAACCCCAGTATTGTACATGCCCTGACCATCGTGATATTGCGTTCACCCATTGCACTAACAGTTGTTTCCCTTTTTGTAATACACTAACTCTTTTTCCCGTCCAATATAAAACATGATTATTAAACATGATTACATGTTTGTGTGTCCCTCAGCCGCTCTTTTAAGTGACTCTTAAAGATGGGTAGACTTGTACTTTCCCTCACTGACAGTGGAAGACTATTCCAGAAGCTCACTCCCTGATATGACAGAGCATTCTGTGAAAAGGTGGTCCGCCTGAGTGCCAGTTCACAATCACCTCGAACAGTGGCTCGAGTCAGTCGAGACCCGGCTAGACTTTTGTTTAATAAAATCACTCATTGGTGGAGGTGCCAGACCATGTATAACTTTGTATATTAGACAGGCAGATTTAAATAATTTGAAATTAGTAAAATATAAAAACTTGTATTTTTCTAAAATTTGACAATGGTGATATGAAAAAGGTTTTTTATCTAATATTTTTAATGCTCTTTTGTAGCATACTTCAATTGGCCCAATAGCAGCAAAGCTACTTGGACCAACTTGTAATACAATATTCAATATGAGCCAGTATCATAGAATGCAAGAATGTAATCGCTGCTGTGTCTGTTAATGATGTGCGGATATGTCTAAAGTTCTGTATATTAATATTTACAGTTTTCACTACTTTTTTAATGTGTTTTTTAAAGGATAATTTAGAGTCTAGTAGCACTCCCAAATACTTACAGCATCCATGCCCAAATATGGTACCACATGATCTTATCAATACTTGATATTTATAGTTGCAGTATGGTGCTGTTTTTTCTCAGTAATCTTCATGCAGCAACTTCCCTCTTGGTTTCCTGCTATGGACCGCATGCCTGTTCAGTTATTTGTATTTAAAAAACACATTAACAGCGGTGCTTATCAACAGAACTAATTCGCTTGAATTACCTTATTGAATTAGATTATCCCCACTGCGAGAGTCACCACATTCCCAAAACAGAAACCGTAGATGGACAGATCGATCCGCTCTGCAGTAAACGCCAGGACCGCCTCCTACAACACGGGTCTCGCCACTGGCGATATGAGCGCCTACAAAGTGGCCTCATACGGCGTGCAGTGAGAGATGCCAAACGCCGGTACCGGGAACGTGTGGAGTCCCACTTCCACCAGGGCGACACACGGAGTATGTGGCACGGACTACGCACCATTACGGACTACAAAGCCAGGGACACTGCGCCGATCAACGCTGACTCTGCATTCACCAACGAGCTGAATCAGTTCTACGCCCGTTTCGAGGTTAGCCAGGCGGCTAATGCTATCTACCGCCTGACTACCGAGGACAGTGACGTCATCAGCGAGAGACCGGTGACCAGCATCGCGGAGCATGATGTCCGAGCGGCACTGAGGAGAGTGAACACAAGGAAAGCGGCGGGGCCAGACGGCATCACCGGCCGTCTGCTGCGCTGCTGTGCTGACCAGCTAGCAGGTGTGTTCACTTACATGTTCAACGAGTCCCTGGCGAAGTCTGTGGTCCCCACATGCTTCAAAAGATCCACCATCATCCCTGTGCCCAAGAACAGCAAACCCTCATCCCTGAACAATTACCGGCCAGTTGCACTGACCTCGGTAGTAATGAAGGTGTTTGAGAGGCTGCTGAAGAACATTATCTCCTCCTCCATCCCAGACACCACAGATCCGCTGCAGTTCGCCTACAGATCCAACAGATCCACAGAGGATGCCATCGCCCACGTCCTACACACCACTCTCAGCCACGTTGACAAGAAACAGGGTAACTATGTGCGAATGCTGTTTGTTGATTACAGTTCAGCGTTTAACACAATAGTGCCCTGCAGACTGTTCACAAAGCTGAGGGATCTGGGACTTAACAGCCGTCTGTGTGCATGGGTGTTGGACTTCCTCACTGGCAGAACTCAGGTGGTGAGGGTGGGCAGGTGCTTCTCCAACAGCATCACCATCAACACAGGAGCACCTCAGGGATGTGTCCTCTCGCCACTGCTCTACTCCCTCTACACTTCAGACTGTGTGGCCACCCATGGCTCCAACACCATTGTGAAGTTTGCTGACGACACAGTGGTGTTGGGTGCCATCTCCAACAACGATGAGGCGGCCTACATGGATGAAGTGAAGAATCTGGCATCGTGGTGCCAGGACAACCACCTCCAGCTGAATGTCGGCAAGACCAAGGAGCTGGTGGTGGACTTCAGAAGGAGTCAGCACAGAGACTACAAGCCCATTATCATCAATGGAGCTCCAGTGGAGAGGGTGCAGTCCTTCAAGTATCTTGGTGTCCACATCTCCTCAGACCTGACATGGGCTGCCCACATTCAGGTCCAGACCAAAAAGGCTAGGCAGCGCCTGTATCACCTACGACAACTGAGGAAGTTCATGGTCTCTCCAAAGATCCTCAGGATTTCTATACAGGCGCTGTGGAGAGCATCCTCACACAGAACATGACATCGTGGTTTGGGAACAGCTGTGTGAAGGACCAAAAAGCTCTCCAGAGAGTGATCCGTACAGCAGAACGCTGCTGCAGGATTGCTCTCCCCCCGCTTCAGGACACCTACACCAGGAGATGCCGGACTAGAGCAGCGCAGATACTGAAGGACCCGTCCCGGGTCCTTCAGTGGCAGGATGGTCCTTCAGTTGCCATCCTGCCACTGACCATCCTGTTGCCAGGTTTGTTGCCATCCTGGCAACAAACTGTTCCAACTTCTGCAATCTGGTAGAAGGTTCCGCATCTTCCGGGCAAGGACAGAGAGACTCAAGAGGAGCTTCTATCCCCAAGCCATCCGTGCCCTAAACACACACACCCGCCCTCTCACATCATCTATAATTGACTGAGTCAGGACTCTTCCAGACACTAAACCAAGGCACAATGTACATTTCAATTCCTTTAATTTTAAATATGTTTATATTGTCTATCCTGTAAAATAGTCAGATGTCTATTCATATTAATGTACAGAATTCACCTGCTTGCTGCTACTACTGCACATTCACCCAATGTATATACTACATATATACTACATATATATATATATATATATACAGTGTTGGGGAGTAACGGAATACATGTACCGCCGTTATGTATTTAGAATACAAAATATGAGTAACTGTATTCTGTTACAGTTACCGTTTAAAAAGGTGGTATTCAGAATACAGTTACTTGGTTGAAATAAATGGATTACACTGCGGTACTTTCCTGTTTCATTTTGTCGCGGGTCAGGACTGTTTGGGTTTTGTTTGACAGCTACGTTCTTTCGTTCCAGGCGGCAGCGTTACGGTTGCCATGGTTACAGGGCGACGCTCTCTCTCTGCGACTGTGTGTTTCCTGTGTGAGAGAGCGCCTTTTCGTTGTTGTTGTTGTGCTAAGCTAACAGGCAGAATGCTACAAGCATAGCTCTAAAGAATGTAGCATCATGGGCAGTATAGTCCGTGTTGCAGGGAGAATGCACTGCCATACACGTTATGTGTCTGTGAGCGCGAGGAGGGAGAAAAAGGCGAGTGGAAAGGTCCGAGTTGTCGTCGAGGAAAAACGGGAACTGGAAACATGTAAAAATAGTAATGACCTGGCTGGGGTTGTTAGCCAGGTGCATTCTGGGTATTGTGTTGTCTCTGTGTTTTCTATCGTTCTGCTAGTTCATATGTGTTTGATTTGCATGTTGTGTTAGTGTTATGTTAATGTAAGCCACAGTGAAGTTGATGTGTGTTCTGTGGAGGGGGGTGAATTGGCATGGTTGGCTGACACCGCGACTCTATGTGGTGGGAGCGTGATAGGGGTTCGGTGTCAGCAGTGTTACGTGGCTGTTAAAAAAGGTGAATAAATGCCCGTGGTGAACCACTACTGCCTCCTGCTGGATTATTCGGGGATTACCAGTCTGCTGCTGAGACGCTCGGGGTCATGCGGTGTACGAGGCACGAGCGCTCTCCATTCATTGCGAGGTTTAGCGATAGCTGCTAGCGCCCCGCTAGCCGTTTAGCTAGTGAGCAGTTTAGCCAGTCAGCTCCCCAAACCCACAGTCATTACATTGGTGTCAGAAGTGGGATTCATGAGTGTCTAGCAGACACTATGGAGCCGACCATAGGCGAATTAGAGCATGTAATCCGAGACAACAGCTCGCTTCTGGAAAGCATGGCTGCCGAGACCCAGCGGAGAAGACCCG